AAAAAAAAAGAGAAAAAAAAAACAGATTGTAAATATATATTTGGAGTAACACTTCCAGAGCATCATTCTTTATAAGCAGCAATACGCATTGAAATGTATAGACGTGCGATTCTAAAGCAATGACACACAAAAGCTATTATCTTTCTGAGAGCTCTAACAAAGGAGTCGACACTCCACAAATAAACAATCACATCACAAGTATTTCAATTTCCAGGTTCATTGCTAATAGTTGTGAGGATGAGATGATTTATCATTCTCGTCATCGCATATTGGAAAAAAATTGTAACAAGACAAAAAAAANAAAAAAAAAAAAAAAAAAAAAAAAAAAATTAGCATGCAGTACAAACTGCATCATGCAAATATTTTGCCAGAAATTCACAAATTATAGCATCATTGACTATGTAAATCACCTAAACAATTAAGTTGACAGTTTAAAAAAAATAATAATAAAGTTGAAACATGTCAATTATCATACCACCACAAATGAAATTCATATGAAATCTAATGGCAGATTCAAGTGGAAAGAACATGAAATGAAAAAATAAAGAAAGCCTTTTTATTCTCACCATCTCCTCTTTTTCGAGAACTACCCCACAAGGGCAATGGAGTGGCTCGTGGAAAACTTTCACGTGCTTCTCAATCTCCTCCCTTTGGAAAGCCTTCCCACATTTTCCACAGTGCACGTGCCTTTCACGCTCCTCAACTCTAAGAACCACCCCACAACCTTCATGCCGGCAGACTACATTATGCCTGCTGCAGTACGCCTCGTGAAGGGCAATGCTCCTTGACGGCACATAATGTCTACAATTTCGGCATTCGATAGTATCCACATCAGCAACCGAGGACGATGATGTCATCGCCAGCTGGCCTTGCTTTTGATTAGAAACATCAAGAACAGATACAGACACCAAGTATTTTGAACTCCCCTTGAACCCATACACACCAATACTGTAATTTCCCGGCCCGAAATTGCGATCCTCTGCCCCGAGCACTAATTCCTTCGCGCCCACGTCATGAGAGGACCAAACGTGTTGGTGTGAATTCGGGAACAAAAGAGGATGTCTCGAAACGTAAAGGTCAATATCCCCATCTACTGTCTGTGGCTCGATTTTAATCACAAATTTAATATCCCCGGACGAAATTCGTTTCCAAGTACCCTCATCAACCGAGAATTTATAGTAGAAATAGTTACCTTCATCAATAGCTCCCGACTCTGGCTTTCCGAATACGAGAGGCTTCAGCACGTGCTGATCACCTCTCTCGGAAGATTCCGGTTCGATAATATCGACTTCGATATCAGTTTCTAAAACAGACACACTCGGGGAAGGCCTCAGCTCGAGCACACGCAGATTGTACGTCAAGGTACCACCATGGCCCACAGACAGCAAGTCACCCTCTGAAAGAGTCGCGTGCTGGCGAAGGCTCGTCTCAAGGACCGCCTTGTGATTGGGGATGTCCGAAAATCCAGGCTTGATTGGCTGAAGCTTTGCGTAAGTCCCCTTCGGAAGCCAAACGTACCGCACCTCCACAGTAGCGGAATGTGGAGGGCCGGAGAATAAATTGCTCCAGCAGTGGGTGGGTAAGGCCACGAGGCCCTCGTCAGCAGTGAACTCGAGTACGCCCGCATGGGTTGTTCTGTTTTCTTTTGAAGAAGGCTCGGGGGAAAGTGGGGTCTCTTGATGAATTAAGGACAAGGAGAAATGAAGGGGTCCCTTGTCGAAAGCTCCTTGTTCGGAAAGCTCAGTGAAGCAAGATGGAGGCAGCTTGATTTTGTCACCACTGCCCTCATACGGCACAGCTTCGAGAATACGAGAGAAGTTGATACCCCGGGCAGCAAGTAGGTTTTCTTCTGTTAGCTGATTTGCCTGGAAAAGAAGAGCAGGTATAGATTGAGAGTAAAAACAGCATTTTTCGAGCCGGTATAGATTGAGAGCTAAAACATCATTTTTCAAAGCATTGGCTTCATTTTCTTTAGGAGTATAAAACGAGTCACCAAAATGAAGGGAATTGGATTATTCACGTCAAGATACACTTTTGAACAAATAGTACACACAGTCCCAACAAATGCTGTCAAACGGGGGCAATACGAGTGCGGTCCCACACAGGTGAAGCGCACTATAAGAGGGTTAGCCCAAATGAAGCCCAGATGAGGTTCCATCCCAACACCAATTGGTGATGGGAGGAGTAGCCCACTAGACTTATAAAGTAGGCTCATTTACCCTATCAAATCAATGTGGGACAACTCACAAGTGACATTCCAACAAATGCAAAAAAAAAATTT